CACGAAAGAAAAATGGACCAAAAATTAACCATCCAGAAATGCGTTATTGGACCTGGGGAACAACATATCAAAAGATGGCGGGACACTTTTTCGGAAAGTCTTGGCCAGTCACGCCCTGGGCCGACTCTGGAGGGCGGGACATTTTTATCCTTGCTGGACCAAAATCCCATATTTTCCAGAGGTGTTCCCAGACGGCCTAGCTACCATCCAGCGTGGTCGCCGGATTTTGTTCCACGAAGGTTACGGAGCTGCAGCCCTCTGCAAACGCCCCAGAGCGCGGTACCCGAGGCACGAAAGAAAAATGGACCAAAAATTAACCATCCAGAAATGCGTTATTGGACCTGGGGAACAACATATCAAAAGATGGCGGGACACTTTTTCGGAAAGTCTTGGCCACTCACGCCCTGGGCCGACTTTGGAGGGCGGGACATTTTTATCCTTGCTGGACAAAATCCCATATTTTCCCGAGGTGTTCCCAGACGGCCTAGCTACCATCCAGCGTGGTCGCTGGATTTTGTTCCACCAAGGTTACGAAGCTGCAGCTCTCTGAAAACGGCTCAGAGCGCGGTACCCGAGGCACGACCGAAAAAAGACCAAAAATCAACCATTGTTTTTAACAATAGTTGAAGCGGTAGCCGAAAAAAAACTGCAAAACATATAAAAAAACGGGATTTTTTTTGTATGAGTTCCAGAGACTCTACTCTTTAATTTGTCGCGCAGCACACAAGTTGTGGACTCAGAGGAGCCGAGATTTAAACGCATTTTTTCAAAATTTGAACCAAAATGGGCGAAATTTCAAAATTGTCGGAGGAAAGTCATCTTGGACACTTTTCCGGGTGAACTTGAAAACGGAATAACGTGTAGGCCGCGCATCTGACGCTCTGGATGGGCTCATCGTCAGTTGACAGTTCCACATCAAGCCAGTCGTCCCCCTCCGATTCGATGTCTCTCAGGTCTTCTATCACTTCAGTGTCTTCTAGGAAGGGTAGCTTGCCCGCTAAAAGATAGTTCCCCCCATTGTCTGAAGTGACGGAGAAAACACTTTTTACAGAGATGTCAAACTTGCGAAGGATACGAAGCATTGTGTTCTTCAGGTGCTCCGCCGTCGACTGTAGATGAAGTTCCTGAATTGCCAAAGTCCTTACAACAGTCTTTCCATCCTTGACATATTGAGCATTCACACCAATAAAGTGTCGGTGTTTCTTCGAGCAGCCGTCCACTTGTAAGGACAGCATACGGCCATCCACTTCTTCAGCCAACAGTCGTCTGACGCGGGCAGCAAGGCCAGCAATTTTTGTTGGTGTCACGTTGGGACTGATAGTTGGTCTGCAAAACAGAGGAAAAGGCTAAATAAGTTGGTTGTGCACTCTAAATGGAGAGAGACAATTTTTGTACCTAGGTTAAATTTGACCTTGAGCACATTTTTATCAGATATGAATTTGTATTTAGGAAGGTATAAGTTGTACCTCGGCTAGGTGCAAATGCTTTGTTTTTATGTAACTTAGATACAGTTTTGGACCTCATGAGACCGACCTCGTCGTCCGGGACCTCTAATACCTGCCTGGGACCTGGGACGTCGGCGACCAACTCAGGGGCGTATGAAGGGTGCGGGCGGAGCACGGGGAGAGCCCCCCCCCCCTCCCCTCCCCTCCAGTGCGCTACCTGAGATGTAGGCAATTTTCGCCACGAAACCCCTGTTTATGGGCAACCGGCCCCGTCTCCCCCGTCAGTTGGACATTAATCTGCGCCTGGACCCACTGGGGACCTAGAGTAACAACGCTCGTCGTTAGGAACCCAGAATTCGTGCCTCGGACCTCGGCCCCGCTACATTTCCCCGCAATCGGTAATCGCCCCCGATGAACGGTACTCGTACCCGAGCGACATAACCCAAAACCGAGTATTTAGGCCCTGTGTCATGAGGGGGGAGGGGGAGGGGGGCGGCACCACGTCCGATGGTGAGTACATACCCTAGGTAGTCACCACACACCGGATCGTCCACACCGGCCGCGCGGCCCCCGCCCGGCGGCCTCGAGAACGTGGTACCCGCGAAGCGCGCGAAAACGGACAAGAAACTTTGGCAACGATCCGCCTATAGTTCCGCTTGTCGCACAGCGGTCCGTGGGTGCTCGTTGTGATCGGAAGAACCTATACTTTTATTTGAGACGCGAACTGGTGAAATCGGTGACCTGACCCACCAAAATGGGACAACCTAATCGCCAGTCTGCATTTACAGTCCGCCGCAAACTGGAGAAGGCTCAGCGATGATGCTCTTCGCTGTCAAAGCTAGCCTCTAAAAGGTTTGTGGATATGGTGGATGAACTCACCATCTCTCCTCTCACCAGACAAATAGTCAGAGCAGAAATGGTCAACATGAAGCGTCCAAAGAAGAAACGACTTTGGACGCTAAATGACAAGCTTTCTGCTCTGGCTATATATAAGCGAAGCACCCGTGCATAAAGGTTTTTACGAAGTTACATGATTTTGCCATCAGAAACCACTCTTAAAAATTTACTGCAAGCTGTGCCATTAGAACCAGGAATCTCCAACACCTTACTTGAATTATTAAAGACGAAAATTGCTAAAATGTCTCCAGAAAATAGAAATTGCATGGTAGCTTTCGATGAAGTGTTTTTACGAGGACGTCTGTGGCACAATGTTGGCAAAAATAACATCACAGGTTTTGAAAATTATGGCCACAGGGGTTCCACAAATCGGATTGGAGACCATGCCCTTGTTTTTATGGCTCAAGGCCTCCATGACAAATGGACCTTTCCAATTGCCTACTTTTTCGTTTCTAAAACATGTCCCACCACCATGCTAAAACTTCTTATTCAAGATGTTGTGAAGGCCCTCTTGGCTATTGACTTAAATGTCTTTGGTACCATTTCAGATCAAGGTCCTACAAATAGGGGAGCCATATCTGAGCTGAAGAAGGACAGTGGAGATTCGGTATTTTACTGTGTAAATGATCACAAACTAGTGCATGTGTGGGATATGCCTCATATATTGAAAAATGTGAGGAACAATTTATTGTCTAGCAACTTGGAGTTTGGTGAGGGCAAAATAGCCAAATGGCGCCACCTGATAGAATATTTTAAACTACATGAAAGCCTGCATAAAATGTCCCCTTTGACTTACAAACATCTAAATCCTCAGGGCAGGGATAAAATGAAAGTTTCTTATGCAGCTCAAGCTCTCAGTCAATCAACTTCAAACGCCATAAAAACTTTTCATGCTCTATCAAATAATTTAGCTCATTGCTTACCCCTTGCAGAGCTTTGTGCTGATGTAGATTTCTACTTTGATTTGTGCAATGGGCCAAGAAATGGCGAAAAGGTGAAGGAAGCAAGAGTAAATGTCACAGAGAATTCCCTGCACCAGGTTGAATGGGTTAGAATTGAGAGAAGTCTGCAGCAATGGACTTACATTAGAAAATCTGATGGGAAAAGGCATGTTCCTCCTTGTGTTCAAGGCTGGATGGAAAATGTGAAAAGTTTTCGTGTGTTGTGGTCTAAAGCTCGAACTGCTGGTCTCAAAGTTCTAAAACTTCGTCACCTAAATCAAGACCCTGTTGAAAATTTATTTTCTTTAATCAGACAGTGTTGTGGAAGTGCAACTGATTTGACTGAGCAGACGTTTACGTCTGCTCTAAAGACATCACTGGTTACAAGATTCATTTCGCATAGTGTTCGTGACAAAAATTGTATAGATGATGAATCGTACTTCATTGGTGATCTCAAACAACTAATTCTCGCTTTACCATCATCCCCATCTGCAACAACACCGCCCAATCAAGAAGAATTTTTAATCCGCGGGGATTGTCAAAAGAGCTCCACAAGACTAGATGTAGCTAGTGATTTGAGGAGACAGGGCCCCACTAAAATCTGGGCCTCAATTTTGAACAACTTATCTGATAAAATTAAATGTAAGGGTTGTCTTTTAAAATTAACTACATCAGAAAGAAGTCGTGACACCCTATTTGCCTGCAATGCCATGCCTTCCTTAGAAATGTTTCCTTCTGCTGCACTAGTAACAGTATTTTTAGCTGCTCAAGCCAGCTTTGAATCCCAGTGGAAGAGAATTCTTCACAAACCCCAGGTCCTTGACCATGTGATTGCTGTGTGCAAAACTGATGTCAGTTGGAATCACTTTCTCTGTGCAGAGCATGAGAATGGGTCATACCTGAACTTGTTGCTGGAAACAACTGGCCAGCAGTTGATCTCTCAAAAGGTGAAGCAAGTTAATGCAAAGCAGAAAGAAAAGGTGGTGAGGAGAACTCGACAAATTGATGGCAAGGACCAAGATGGCTTGCGAACAAATGAGGAAGCTGCTCAACTCCATCACCATGACCTGCAGTTACTACTTCAAGGCCAGATTTCTACTGAAGGTTGTGTACAAATCATGAACAATTTCTGTGTTTGTATGGTGTGGTTTGGAGTTCATGTCCTGTCACCACCAGGAATGATTTCTTGGTCTCATTGAAATTGCCCATCCATTTTTGTTCTGGCACATAATTCATGTTGTTGATATGTGGCTCATCTGTGGTCTATCTATATGGTTCGTCTCCTGGAGAAATTTAGGTGTTGGAGATTTCTGGTTCCAATGGCACTTTCCGAGGTAGATTTAAATCTGAAGTAAATAAATTTAAACTCTTTACAAACCCATTGGCAACCTGATCATCTGAAGAAGTCTCCTTGCTAATCTGATCTAGTGAAAGGGATGACTGAGGCTGAACAGAAGGGCTTGCTATTGAAGAAATAATAATCTGCTGCTCAGAACTAATACTGCTGCTGCCAACTAACACCTCATTCCTGTAGACCTCAGATAAAAGAGTGTGCAAGGATTAGCAATAAGTAACACATAACAATGTTTAACGAGTACTTCAAACACTTTAATTTCCCATAAAAAATAACAAGCAGGCCCACCCTTCTGCCAAACGAAGTTGCCAGCTCCACTTCGCTCCGCCGGCAACTCCGTTCAGCAGGGGCCGGGCCTGCTTGGCCTGCCAGGTCGGGCCTGCGGCCCGACCATTTCTATCACACCATTTGCTGAAGAACATGATCGAATGATGTCTTTGAGTTTGCCCCAAAGACTCGAGAAAGTGATGTACCGGTGAAGCACCGCGACTACAACCCACCCTTCTGCTTAGAAAACGATTTTTGGGGGTGGGGGAAGAATTTCCTTCCTATTTTGCGGTTTTTAGGCCTTTTTGTACAACTTATTGTTCACTATGGCAATTTTTAGCTTATTTTCGTCAAAAAAGACCCTCTAGCGCCTAAACGGTTAGAGATAGAGCAAAACGGACGAAATTTTCGCCCACGGGGCTCTACTCTGACGAGTTACCCCGTAAGAGAACATAATCAGAAATTTCCTTTTTGGGAGAATTTTTGAACCTTGGATACCCCCATTCACACCCTTAGGGGTGGTTGCCAAGATTTGCCGTAGGCGTTTCGTTCTCTAGGAGTGGACCTTAATATACCCTGAAAATTTCAAGTCTCTAGCACATCGTCTCTAGTGGAACAGACGAGGCAGATTGCACACACTAAAATGAGAGTAACAATGTATAATTAACCCATCTTTGTCAAATGTCTGCTTCACGGAAAAATTGAACTTACTTTCGTCCTCTGTGGGTTCCTGCAAGAGCAAAAGTACATAATTGATTATTCAATTCATGGAAATCAAGTTTGCAAAATATCCTTTTAGTTGACAGCTCTGAAAATGTCCACTAGGTACCTGATTATTTTTGTCGGTTGGGTTTCTGTTGTCTTGTGGTCTGGCTGCTGAGAGTAAGCCTGTTTGTGGCCTGCAAATCTTAAAGTTAATCATCATTTGCTCAATGCAAGTGGTAGCTTAAGCAAGCTGTTCACCTATAAACATGCGCCCTGGACAAGGAACTAGAAGGAAACTTACCTTTGTCTGTTTTGGTGGCGGGTCGTCCTGATCGACATGATCATTTTGAGCAGACCCTGCCTTCCTCTTTGGTGCCTAGTAATAAACAAGTAATTAGCACCAACATTTTTTAAAACATGCTCAGATTCAAATTCTTATGCATTAACTCACAAGTCTTAGAGTAGATGTTCCTGGTCTCTGCTCATCTTGTTTGTTAGCTCTTGCGTCGATCTTTTTCTGGAGCAGACAGAGAATACCCTTTAATTTACCAGCTAAGTCTGGTTAGATAATTAACAGATATACAGTAGCAGTGATGTCATACCTTAAGTTCAGCGAGACTAGAAAGCTGTACAGTATTCTGTTTCTCGACAATGTTATCCTGCAAAAGAATAAGTAGTAGGATAGAATTGACCAACAGTTACTTGCCAAGGTAAGAGTAACAAAAATCACAATGGATTTTATTATTGCTTACATCTTTACTGATGAAGCAATCACAATCATTGCCTGATTCCCCCTGGGAATCATCTCCTTGAGAATAAGAGGACACCTCGGTTACAGTGGTCTGAAATAATGAAAAACATTTAAGAGATACAGATGAAAACAAAGACAAAAGCTGTACAAGCTGCAGTATACTTACATTATCGAGGAAGCCTGTTGCCTCTGCGGGCAGCTGGTAAAAAAAAATTGCATTAGATCAGAATTTTAGTGATAGAGAAACAAAATTAATAATAAAGCTGAGGAAAATGCGAAATCTCCCTACCTGCATCTTGTTGAGGGTCGCAATGACATCTGCCACCATTTTTTGAAGTTTTTTGAACTCAGCACTAATGGCTGTAGGTATTAGATCATTCTTCTTGTCAACATCTTCCCGAACCATATTCTCCATTTTATTAAAAGAACATGTAATAGTGGACTGCAACTCCTCAATTATTGCTGACTAGAAAAATAAATTTGAATTGGATCAAAATTTCACAGGTAGAGCAACATAACAAGAAATAGAGCTTAGATAAAAAAAAATTAAATGCCTACCGGATTTTTGATAAGGCACTCTTCAAACCCTGCAATTTAACTTTCTACTTTACGGAACTGGTCAACAACTGTTTTTTGTACTGCATGGGCAACTTGGGCCGATATGTGGCCAAATTCTTTTTGCACAATGTCCTGAACTTTATCCTGTAACTTTTTTTCCAGTTTAGTAAGATCACTTGCAATAGTGGACTTCATGTCCTCAATTATTGTTCCCTGAAAAAAAAAAAATTGCATTGGGTCAAAATTTCACAGATAGAGGACCATAATAAGAAATAGAGCGTAGAGAATATTTTAAAAAATACCGACTTGATTATTGGTAAGGGATGCCTCAATCCGTGCAATTGTATTTTCCACTTCACTAAACTTGTTAAAGATCGTCTTGTCTAATTCCTGCACAATTTTAGAACTGATATCATCCACTTTGGTGGTCAGGATAGTCTCTGCTTTGACGTCAAATTTGCCCTCTAACTCAGCACAGGTTTGGTCCATAAGAGCTGGAAACTTTTCTGTGGTTGCCTTGATAAGCTGTGGAAGGACCAGAGATTAGATCAGC